CATTGTCATGCTGAAATCCATCTTGATGAAAATATGGACAATTTTAGACTGGTGCGTTTTCAATGATGTTCAGTATATGTCTGGTCCACATTCAACTATTTACAGACCACAACCTGAGAGCTGGAATGTCTGTACAGTTGAGCATCAAAGATTCAACAAAGAACCGTAAGTGACAAAAGGAAATCAACATAATTAACCGAGGAGGTGTAATCGAAAGAAGCGGGCGTAAGAATGCTAGATTACATGACATGATAAAAGACGTTTTTGTAATACTCCATGTATTACCAGCGAGTGTTAATAATGACATTAAGATCCTTGTTTCACGAACAGCAGGGGTCATTACTGATTTTCACTGTTTACTTCAAATAGTTTTAGGGGAGGTGGAGTAGCCTAGTGGTTAAGGCGTTCGCTCGTTACGACGAAGACCCGGGTATGATTTCCATCATGGGTAGATTGTGTGAAGCAATTTCTCGTGTCCCCCCGTCGCGATGTAGCTGGAATATTACTAAAAGCAGCGTAAACCATACCCATTCACACTCACATACTTTTCATAACTAGTTTTCCCTATAACGCCCAGTAGAATCTGTTTCGGCAGGTGACCGAGATTAGCTGTTCTCTGTTGTTGACGTCTTACATATTTGAAGGAAAACTGTTTTGTATGGATAGTCAACTTCTTTATTGCAATGAGTGCGACGTTTCGGTGTAGGTACTAACACCGTTATCAAGCAAGCGATACAACAACTGAAGCAAGGAGAATACATACATAGCTGTATAGTGAGTATATACAATTAACAAGGTTGATGTACATTGGATATTTGATAAGTGATTACAGCAGAGGAGGTTGATGTACAGAGTGATTGATTGTGATTAGAGTTGAGTTTATACAATTGATGAGTTGACGTACAATAGTTGTGATACAAGCACAAAGGAGGGAGCATGGAAGCCAGATGGACAAAAGGAGTAGGGAAGGATTACTGGTGGTGGTCTTTGATTAGGTGGTGATAGGCTGACGAGATGAAATAACCTTGATCTCGATTCATGGTAGGGTTGTGGCGTTGAATGTTTATGGCTTCAAGGATGGTCACGCCAACCCTGACCATGCCATCCTATGGAACAACATCGATATCCTAGAAATCAACCGACAAGACTACAAAATTAGGAAACTCCTTGAAGCCATAAACATCCAACGCCACAACCCCACGATGAATCGAGATCAAGGTTATTTCATCTCGTCAGCCTATCACCACCTAATCAAAGACCACCACCAGTAATCCTTCCCTACTCCCTTTGTCCATCTGGCTTCCATGCTCCCTCCTTTGTGCTTGTATCACAACTATTGTACGTCAACTCATCAATTGTATAAACTCAACTCTAATCACAATCAATCACTCTGTACATCAACCTCCTCTGCTGTAATCACTTATCAAATATCCAATGTACATCAACCTTGTTAATTGTATATACTCACTATACAGCTATGTATATATTCTCCTTGCTTCAGTTGTTGTATCACTTGCTTGATAACGGTGTTAGTACCTACACCGAAACGTCGCACTCATTGCAATAAAGAAGTTGACTATCCATACAAATCAGTTTTCCTTCATCTTCACAACTTCTAAAATGCCTCTCAAAGAAAGTCTTCTATATTTGTTTGTGATTGTGACTTAGAGGTCTGCCTATTAGTACAACCCAGAATATGTAGAGAAATCATGGAAAATGACAAAAATATATTTGAAAGGTTGGTGGACCCTCTTGTTGAAATATCCACATGGTAGTAAGACATAAATTCCATCAGGGCATGTGCTTATAAAGGCTCGGTGAATAATGTTTGATATACCCGCTTACTGTCTCGCGGACACCGGGTGTCATCACTGATTGGCCCATACATATACTTGTCACCACTATTTTACATTTACACCAAAGGAATCTGTTGTGGCAAATAATCAAGAATATTCTCTGGCCTTGGCCTCCTTTTCTCACATATTGATGTACATACACACACTGAGGGTAGATCAGACAATACTCAACGATTGATAAGCACACAATGAATTTACCTTTCCATCACCAATTGGGGCAGTGGGTAGCCCAGTGGTTAAAGCGTTCACTCGTCACGCCAAATGTCCGGGTTCGGTTCCCCACATTGGTACAATGTGTGAAGCCCATTTCTGGTGTCCCCCGCCGTGATGTTGCTGAATATTGCTAAAAGCGGCGTAAAGCCCGAGTCACTCACCCCGGAATTTGCCGGAATATGAAATGAGAAGCATCTCTTTACACCTAGACAACAATGCATTAAACTATATCACCTCCGTCTTAAAAATCAATATTAATATACAATGCGCAAGGCCGCTTCTTTGTAATGAACTCCATGTCAACAGGGAGCTTTCTTAACACACGTTGAGAATAATTGTGTAACGCAACATTGCATGTTGAATTCCATCTTCAGGATATGTCGAACTGCACTAATGGGCGTTTTTGGCAATGACAGCTCTCTAAGACACAATGGGCTTTGTTCGGCACAGGAAATTCAAGATGCTTTAGAACGGCGTCTTCCCCTGAACAAACAACCCACAGTTGGTAGCAAATATGAATCGTGGCCATGAAATGATTTATTCTGATTAGGCTCATTTAAAATTCACATTGATGTGATGTGACGCAATGGTTTGTTTAACCTGCCATAGTTTCCAACCGGTTTGATATTGACATGTATGTATTCGTTCAGTTTATCATTCTGATCGCATTCTGATAAGCGTACTGGCGTTTGATACCTGACTCGGAATACAGTTTCCCTATGTTGCAGGTTAAACACTTCGATCTCCCAGTAAAAGTATTCATAATGATAAAGGTGAGTGTGAGTGAGTGGGTTTAGTTTTACGCCGCACTCAGCAATATTCCAGCTTTATGGCGGCAGTCTGTAAATAATCGAGTCTGGACCAGACAATCCAGTGATCAACAGCATGAGCATCGATCTACGCAATTGAGATACGATGACATGTGTCGACCAAGTCAGTGAGAATGACCACCCGATCCCGTTAGTTGCCTTTTACGACAAGCATGGATTGCTGAGGACCAATTCTTACCCGGATCTTCACGGGTCCAATAAAAGGATGATGATGATGAAGATGATGATGATGATGATGATGATGATGATGATGATGAACGACCACTGCACCGGGTTTATGTGTATTGTGTTGAGGAGAAGAGCAGCCTTCCTGACTCCTTCGCATGGATGAAGTTAGCTGGTCTGAAAAGTGAAACAGTAGCTTTGTCTGTGCTGGTCAGGGACAGTCATTTCCCTCTCAGTGATAGACCGTTACTGTGTGATTCTGCGTAAAAATGTAAATATAAAATGTCGACTGTGAAATGAATTTGATGAGTCAGTCCATTACCTTGGTAGAAACACAGTATCTTAGGCGACATGATGGCGTGACTCGGTCCTTTTGACTCAGAGCTCCGCCCACGGTACGACCCAGAATATGTAGAGAATTATAGAATTCTTCAGAATAGGCTTTTGTTTGGTTAACGCCGCACACTGCAATATTTATATTCCATCACGTGGCGATTAGAATAGACCTGTATAAAGCATTAGACGTATCCAAGCCAACAAACCTGACCTTGTTACTTTTATGAAATTCATGAAAGTATGTATATGTATATCATTGAACTTTCTGTCCCTTTTGGCACAAATGCCAGATGATGGCATATCAGGTAACATGCGGACCTCGCTTACGACATGTCACGCGTACATCCCAAGTGTCAAGTTGTCCGACTCCCCATAATAATTGGTGCCTTAGGTTTGCTACCTCCCAATCCTTTGATTGACGCACCAGGCGTTTGCTGCCAGGAACTTCGCCCTTCTGACAGTCAGAAGGATGCAGTGTTGGTGGGTCTGCACATTCTCCGATAATTTCTTAGTGGTTTGACTGGGCAGTGCTTCCTGGGTGAGGTACCATCCGTTGTCTGAGATACGGGTAAAGGGGACAATGACCCTGAACTGAAGAACTCTGAGAGCATTACCCGAACCTTCCTCTCTTCTTTCATTTTTTAATCTGTAGAAGATATTAATATTCCGCTCAATTGATCAGTCTAAATTAGATTTTCTTGTCCAGCTCCCTTGGGGTATACAACAAACTTATATATTATCCTCCCAGGTACCCATTCACTGCTGGTTGAACAGGGAACAATGACAGTTCCCGCAGGAGGACCCACAACTGTGACCGCTGATCACTGAACAAACTGTCCCGAGCCTTCTCTGAAGTCGTACCTTGTGTATCCACGTGTGTGGCCTTGTCATTGTCCAACCATGGCCAAAACATGATAAATTATAAATCAGGCTTCCGAATATTTCAGACACTGTCATACCTCATGAACTTCATACAACGTTTCAGATGGTGATTATGTCTTTAACCGTTACTGTATGTAGCAGGAAGGCGATGTGAGAACCTTGTGGTTTTACGTTTGTTCGTCACGCTGAAGACAATGGAACGATTTTCCGCATGTGTTCGATTTTAAACCATTTTCTGCTGTTCCCTTCATGATATTGCTGGAAATGGTTAAAAGGTGTAAAACCATTCGCATTGTGACATGTTTTACGATAGTTCTTATTTACACAATGTTACAGATTTGCACAACAGCTCCTGATGTTAACCAGACATAACTGATCCTAAAGTATTCATGAATAACTTATACATCAAGAACTAAGACTGGTTGTTTGTCTCTTGCTCAACGTCCAGCTATATGGCGGTAGTCTGTAAAGAGACGAGTTTAGACAAGACAACCAAGCAGTTGACGTCATGAGCATCGATCTACGTAATTGGGACACGCATCCAGCGAACCTGACTATCCGATCCCATCAGTCGACAGACAAACATGGGTTGCTTAAGACCATTTCTAACCCGGATCTTCATGGATATGGATAACTAAGATAAACATGGGTTAACTTTGATATACTGTGCTTGACCTTGATAAAAAGGCATCAACTTTGACTAACATTGCTGAACTTCGATAAACTTAATAAACAGAGTTTAAAGTGGTAAATAGACGATCATTTTAATAAAATGGGGTTAACGGGTTAACTTCGATAAGCAGGGGTTAACTTTGATTGCTGAGATCTTTTTAGGAGGTGGCATCTGTTTCTTCAGCCGCTGTTGACGTTGCTGGTTTCGCTTGTAGAAGTCATTGAAATTGGCAGCGATTATGGCAATGGGCATCGGAATGACAAGAATCCCGAGAAGAGAACAGGTCGACCCCACCAGGTAACCACACACCCCAGATGGAACATAGTCCCCATATCCTACCGTTGTCATAGTAACCACTGCCCACCAGATTGATATTGGTACGGTGTCGAAGTGATTGTTTTCAAATTCGCAGTAATATTGTATAGATCCAAACACTGTCGCGAATATCGTGAAGCAAAACCCCAACAGGATTAGTTCCGATTTGCTTCGGTTGATAGCCAAAAATATCACCTTCAATCCGGTAAATCGCTCCGAAAGTCGTAAAAAGCGGAAAAGCCGGAATATATAGAAACTTCGAAGTACAACATACAAAATGAACATGTCGTAGTTTTTGGCAACGAATCCATGTGTGAATCCCATCTCGGTGAGATACACACTCCATCCACCGGAAATCGTAACGATGTCGACCCATGTGAGGAATCTCTTCATGAACTTCCGTTTCCGTGCGCATGACAGGAAGTGAAGGATGAACTCCACGGTGAAGATACAGAGGCAAACAAGATCAATGGCGCTCAGGGCAGGGTACACCTTCGTAAACATCAACAGTTCGATCTTCAAATTATTTCCACTGAGGTTCTTTCGAACTGAGCTGTTGTATTCAGCACCCACGAGTGGCACACGGAATTCAACCATTGTTTCCAGACAATAGTTGATAGCAGACACAGCCACGAGGACCATAAAAACAGTGTTCCAGATCTGAAAATATAATTGGGAAAATATGTTAGGCAAGATAGCTTGTATATTGATTAAATCTCTTTGGACTTCCGTTGCCAGTCTAAGAAACGAGATAGTGCTGTAGCGATTGATCCATGTATCAATATTCCAGCAATATTCAAGCTATATGAATATAAATTATCGAGTATGGACCAGGCAATCCTGTGATCAACATCATGAGCATCGATCTACGCAACTGGAATACTATAGCATGCGTCAACCAAGTCAGCGAGCCTGCCCACCCGATCCTGTTAGTAGAAGAATAGGAATCGAGATATGCCAGCTATTGATACCATGACTAACGACCAGGGGAAGGTCGATTTACCTCTGAGGACCAATATTTCTGTCAGTGGGTTTGTTGGTCACACAGTTGTAATTTACTTGATTTCATTCATTGTGCGTGTCTGAACTGCAAAGTCCGGAGTGTACGGCATACTGGAAACTGGAAGATGTCACGGTGAAGTGGCCAAGGCAATCAATCTTTGACAGTCGGTGATCAGCAGACTATACCAACAAACCACAGCTGCCAATCGACCCCGTTCAGGTCGTCCCTGGTCCAGGAAAAGACGACGACTACTGGAGCTCGTGTAAAGGTCTACTAGCAGCTCATCTAAATGCCCACCGATCCATACATCTCGTCATATTACCAACAGACGTCAGTGGTGTACAAAACGTCGAAATTGTGGTAAACGTGTCATCGTTTCTGTTTCACCTTGTACTTCCTTGATAGGCGCAATCGTGTCTAGCAGCTTCGAATTTGAAACTAATATGTCGCTATATTGGAGCTAAACCAGCTCCATATTTTGCAAAAAACGGTCAAAGATCAGGATGTTGTATGTTGCAAGGCGTATTGGTCGACGTTTTGTCTTTCATGACAACACCCTATCAGTAATGAACCGAGGCCACAACCCAATGGAGATCATTAGAATCTATGTCAAAACGTCGCATATACAGAATAAAGAAGTTGTAAAAAAAAGTGTCCTCCTTCTTCATCTCCTCAACTTTTAGAATGCCAATTTCAGGAAATGTGTACATTTACTGAGTGAATCAGGAAATGTACACATTTCCTAAATATTCAAGGAAATTTACACATTTCCTGATTTGACACATTCACTGTAACATATATACTCGTGATATAGCCACAATTCTACAATCGACTTTTTTTTTAGGAGAGATTTCTTGGACGTGGAAAGGGTTTTGTCGCTTCCATTTTCAGAGTATTACGCAGAGGCTACATATATTCTTTCTACGAAGATTTTAAAACACTGTTAAATCAGGGTGACACCATCAAGGCCTCAGTAAATACTTTTAAATGCTTATAGTAGACCTGTGGATGACATTTCCAAAGATCTGCATCTCTTACAAAACTGATATCCTATGAAAGATACTTTCAATTATAAAAATATCAACAATTTAAAAGCTAGAGCAAGAATTATAGATCTGATACATGTTCTAGATTACTACAAAATGTTATCAAGTCCAACTATAGATTCAGACCATTCAATTATTGCTATGACACTATCTCTATCTGAAACACAAAGAGGAAAAGGTTTTTTGGAAATTCAATAACTCTTTATTGCAAGATCCAAAGTATGTACAACTAGTCAAGGAAACATTTAAAAACACTTTGAATAAATATTACTCCAAAACAGGAGACCAAAATTCAAAATACCAAATTAATTATCAACTTTTGTGGGAAATGATTCTTATGGAAATTAGAGGCTTAACAATGCACTATGCATCAGCAAAGGAAAAGGATAAGCGCAGAATCAATGACAAAGGGATCATTTCTTAGATCCAAAGCAAAATGGACAGAACAGGGAAAAAAACAAGTAGATGGTTTTTTAAATTTGGAATTTAGAATTTTTCTAAACAAGTCTATATCAGAAATTTAAAAAATTGATGCATCAAAAGTTAAAGATCAGGAAGAAATACTAAAGGAAACCCAAACCATTTATAAAAAAACAACAACTTTATAATAATAACAACTGCACACATATTAATCTTAATTTTTTGTTAAACTATCTTAAGAGGGCGAAATAACATATAAGGAAACACTAAAAGCACTGAAAAAAAATGAAAAACGGAAAAAATCCTGGACCAAATGGTTTAACCACAGATTTTTTTAAATTCTTTTGGATAGATTGAAATAAAGTCTTGATAAATTCTTTAAATTATGCATAATTCTTGATAAATTCTTTAAATTATGCATATCTAAATGAAAACCCATCAGTTACCCAGAAACAAGGATCAATTACATGCCTACCAAAAGAAAACAAACCGAAGCCATTTTAAAAAAAAATGGCGGCCAATTTCTCTCCTTAACACATCATATAAAATTGCATCAGCAGTTATAGCCAATAGAATGAAAAAGATTCTACCACTGATAATAAATGATGATAAAAAAAGTTTCGTACCAGGAAGATATATTGGTGAGGTCACTAGGCTACTATATGATCTAATGGAGTATACAGAATCTTATCAAATACCAGGACTATTAGTTCTAATTGATTTTGAAAAGGCTTTTGATTCAGTTGATAGAACTTTTATACTAAATGTGTTGAGATTCTTTCATTTCAGACCTAGTTTTCAGAAGTGGAAAAGAACTTTTTTTAATGATATGAAATCAAGTGTACTTGTAAATGGATTTGCTAGCACTTTTTTTCCTATAGCAGAGGTTGTCGTCAAGGAGATCCTGTATCACCATATATTTTTATCTTTTGTGCGGAATAATGGCTATACTTATCCGAAATAATAAAAATATGAAAGGCATTAAAAAGGAAATATTGAATATGTTCTTGCACAATTTGCTGACGATACTTCCCTACCTTTAGATAGCACTAAGAGTAGTCTACATTGTATATGCCTTGCTGAATACTATATCTTTTTTACAAGGTTTTCTGGACTGAAAATTAAGACAAGACAAGAACTTAGATTGGACCCAAAGTAACTTTAAGCTACAGGGTATTATATTTGATGTTAACCTTGAAAAAATGGTGAAATTGAATTAGGACAATAAGTTTAAAAAGATAGACAATGAAATGAAGTTATAGACAATAAGAACACTTACCCTAATCGGTAGAAATGTTATTTTGAAATCACTATTACTCTCAAAATTAAACCATCTATTTTCCTGAATTCCATCAACCCCAGATGAGATAAAAAATAAATTTCAACAAGCCTGCTTCAAATTTGTATGGAAAGACAAACCTGATAAAATTAAATGAGATGTATTTGCTATGCCACCTGAATATGGAGGAATCAGTGTCCAACTAATTAAGAATACCATTTATGCACAGAACATATCACGGATAAAGAGATTACATTCCAGTAGCTGCAAATGGAAAGCATTAGTTGAAAATTGTATACCTAACTACAGAAGACTTTGGTTAACTGATTCTGAATTTGTGGAAAAGCACATAAACCTTACATAAGAAATCCTTTTTTGGGAGATGTAATCTCTGCATGGAGATCATATTTACAAAAGCAATATAAGACATTAAACTCAAACGACATGTTAAACCAATCTATTTGGTTTAATCATATGTGTATCATAGGTAACGAGACAATTTTATAAATAATTGGTACAATGCAGGTATACACTTTATTTATGATCTAATGAATCCTACTACAGGGAAATTACTTATGAAGAACTACAAGAAATATATCAAGTCAAAACAAATATATTCAAATATTATAGTATCAAATCTTCCACAATTGCCGGCTTGAAGAGAAGATAAATCATTCTTCCCAAAACACTGCCATTTTTCCCAATACTATCATTCAATATATCCAAACTTAGTCTAAGGGTTAAAGGCTCCTAAACATTTTATCTTTCTTTACTTGACCCTAATAACAATAAGGCATATGCCCATAAAAAGTGGGAAAGAGTCTTTGAAACACAGTATGATAACACAATGCTACAAAACTGATATATGATGCCAAATCGATGTACAAAATGTAGTAATTTGAAACGGTTACAGATGAAGATATTATACGATATTATACCTAGAAACATTTTCATAAAATCAGTCTAAAAGACACTTCCATATGTACTTCTGTTCAAAAGAATTAGAAATAATTGTCCATCTATTCTGTAATTGTTCAAAAGATTTGGGACAGTTTGACCAGATGGATAATGACTGTAACTGAAGGCAACATCGACTTTACACCAGCAAACATCTTACTTGGATTTAAAGGGGAAAATAATAATTCTTTAAATGCAATATGTCTTGTTGTGAAAGAGATAATAAATACGCACAAAATAAAACAACAAGTTCCAAATTTCAAGCATGTAGTACGGGAGATATCAAAATATTATGAAATTACAAAATATAATGCTTACTCTACATGCAGTAACAGCGAGTTCTTTACCTTCTGGTCACCCTTCCACAACCTATTCACTGAGAATATTAGGTCAGAAAACATATTGTAAGTGTATTCAATCACTATTACCACTATTGGATACACAGAGATAAAGTATGCAAGCATATTCAAAGATATCTATTCACAGTATGATGGTGATTTGTGAAAGTATATTGAGTATATGTATATTGTGAATGTAGTCTACATATATTACACCGTGGAAATAAAGATGGTAAAAATAAATTTAAAAACTGATATCAGATGCAATTAAAAGTTTCAACTTGTACCATATATTCTCGTGGGTTTTAAGGCAAATAATTAACTTGACTTTCCATGTGTTTGTTACAAACGCCATTCGTATGATAGGATACGCTAATGTAATCATATTATACTTTGAATCGTACAATGGACATAACAAATATACCTAACATTATGATGATTGGTAAAGATTGATCACAGTGTTATTTACACTCATCAATCAATAATAAGGTTTTTTTATAACGAAGACAGATTGATAGACGTGTTAACGTACCACAGCAAGACACAAATGTATGTGCTATCTGACAACGAAGGACGTATCTTTGAAGATTTATTCGACAAATGAATCATTAGTCATTTATATTATTTATGTTCACAGACACTTATTATTATATTGCTGAAAACGGCGTAAAAAGCATGTTCACTCACTCAAACAAATAATTGTTTTCCAGAAAAAAGCATTTATTGAAACAAATGGGTATAGCTAACCGGACAATATAAACACACTTTCTACACAATATAATGTACGTGTAATACCAAACATTAGTTTCAATGTCAACTGAAAAAAATACGAATCCAGAGACTAGATACCCTGAAACCTCGTCTACAGCTCGATGTTTACGTGAAACGAAATAAATGTCACATCTAACGCATACCTCTTTATCCGGAAATCCGGTTTCCGGAACCGGGCAGTGAATTCTAATTACCAACAGTGAGAATTAGAAACCAATAGGCCCACTTAACTCACAACGACCACGCTTGATGATGTTCATGTTGCAATCCATCACGCGGCAGTCAACATGAAAGGGGGCGGGTAGCATGTCATCACAGTGGTATTTGGCTACCTGTATACCTGTTAATTGGGCTGTCAGGTGAGGTGAGATCTGAGTTGAGGTTTGTGATGAACATTAAAATGCTGTCTTCACAGTACATTATATCGTCAGGTTGCACCGGGGTAGCCTTATGGTTAAGCCATTCGCTCGTCTCAGATTCGACCCGGGTTCGATTCCCTTATGGGTACACGTGAAGCCGATTTCTGGTGTCGCCAACCGTGAATGTGTTGGAATATTGAACTTGCTCACTGTACCTTATGAACGAAATGGAATTTTGTGACAGCTCGGTAAAAGAAATGAATCTATTAGTATGAGAACACCAATCCTAACACTTGACTTGTTGAGCAATGGCTTGATGAAATACCTCGTATACTATCCGCGATTATCTGTCTGGTTTGTTTAGTTAGGTCTCGATCATCTATTAGTTTGTCTAGTCATGTCTGGAGTATTAGGCTGCCGTCATACAACTGAAATACTGACATTATATGGGATATTAGGCGCTCTCATGGGTTCCACTTAAGCGCCCCTCTGTGTTGATCTGTTTCTTTTTTTCCACTGTCAGAAGCCAGATTAAAACCAGATTAGAGTCCAACACCGCTGTGTCGAAGTTGAAAGCTACTGCGTAAAAACATCGAGTTATCCGTGCTTTGACACAACTTACACTGATGAGCAAGTAAGGAACACGCACAGGCCCAGCTTTTACTTCGAGACTACCGTCCTCGACACATCCCAGTTCTACACAGCGATATTTCACTAAGGTTTTTAACTCCAGGTATATCGATGACCTGGTATGATCGTTCAAACATATTCATACAGCCAATTCCCTTCCACTGATTTAAACAGTTGAACCAGAAATAAAAGAGTCCATTTGTTTCTTCTTAAAATCAATGCATGCAGATTCAGAGTGAAAAGAATAATTTCCACAAGACTGAAAGACAAGATGGGTCTTTCAATAGACCATTCTCCGTCCTTTGTCAGTAAACTTTGGCAGCACTAGCGTTTGATGTCAACAACATACAACTTGCATGCTCAGTGTCTACGGAGATATCAAAGACGTCATCTAAATTATTTCCCTACAAAGACGTCTTGCAATGCGTAGTCTGCTGCATCCCCCGGGAGGGAAACAATGGACAGACATTTCAAATGGGTACGAGCGAACAATACAAAATCAATTTGGAATATTATTCTTCATTGTTCCAAGTGGGTCAAATCCATTCGTATCACGATTTATCATATATTAGTATTCACAAACCCAATTGGATTTCCTGTGAGTACAATAGATCAATGTTGTCACACATTTCCGAAAGTTGGCATTGTTCCAGTTTACAAAACGTCCAACAACATCACTTTCATATGAAAACAACATTATGTGAACTGTCTAGACACAGAACTTGGCATTGTTTGTTTATCAAGTAATCTAAAATACAGATCCATGCCTTTGTCTGAAAATCATGACATTTTCCACGTACATACACTCGTGGAATGTCTGCACCATCTGAGGAAAAATCCGTTCCAGGTTAAGATTTAACAGGTGAAATGCTTGACGTAGTCATGACAAAATTAGGGGATAAAACCTTTAGACAAGAAAGAGACATCCCCATTGGCCCCAGCTGTGCCTCCCTCCTCGCGGATCTGTATTTCTATGCATATGAATCAAACTTTCTACTCGGTTTCGCAAAGTGAAAACAAGGTGATTTAGCCAAGAAGATAAACATAAGATTCGGATATATCAACAATATAATATTGTAAAAAAACAAACCCAATAGCCAATTCCCTTTCCCGATTTACCCATCCAAACTTGAAATTCGGTAGACATGCTCTTTTTACCAACATTCTAAGAGCGCCGAACGATTCTTGCTTATCATACAATCGAGATCGTACAATGGACTTTGTTTGTGATACAGTCAGACGACACATGCTTGTCATGCTGTAGAGATCGTACAATGGTCTTTATTTATGATACAGTCAGATTGTACATGCTCATCATGCAGTCAAGCTCGTACAATGGACTTTGTTTATGATACAGTCAGATTATGCATGCTTATCTTACAGTCGAGATCGTACAGTGGACTTTGTTTATGCACATGTGGGTATAGGTAGGTTCCTCAAGTGTTCAAACTGTGAAGATCGGGTTAGAATTGATCTTCAGTAACGTACCCATGCTTGTCGTAAAAGGCGACTAACGGGACAAGGTGGTCAGGCTCGCTGATTTGGTTGACACATGTCATCCCATTTGCGTAGATCACTGGATTGTCTGTTCCACACTCGATTATTTACAGACCGCCGCCATATAGCTGGAATATTGCTGAGTGTGGCGTTAAACAACAAACAAACAAAAAACAAGGGGCCAAATCTTACCCAGAATCCCAAGACAAATGTATAATGATCTTCCCACAAATCGAATGCGCATACTAAATCAATACACAAAGAACATTTTTAAAACTCTGAGGAAAATACTCCTAACAACAGCTAACCTTTGCAATCCTTGAATAATTTGGTTGGTCGAGGCATTTCCAAAGACTATCCCTGAATCTGCCACAAGGTGACTCTGTTTCCACGTTGGTAGACTTTTCAAAGTTAGCAGCCAAATCCTGGCAGATTTCCTCGCCCTGATCCACTTTGAACATAATGATCCAACAGCACTCGGAGATCTGAGTCTCAGGAATCTCCCAAAACTCCAGTTCCCGTCGTATGGCATTGCCGCATATGTTGGACGGAAGATGAAGTTCAGATGTCCTATACATATTCAGAATACAGCTGAACACGTTAGGGTCTCTGTCGAAAGAATACACATCACAAGTCCGGTCATAGTATGGACTCGACTGACTTATTTTACCCAGTTTGGTTTCAGGGAATCTTGACAAGACTTCAGTATATGTCGTAAAGGAAAACCCTCCGACGCACAGTGTAATACGTTGTTTTGTCATACCTTTTTCTGTCATGTTTTTTTCTGTAAATATAAAAAAGACGTAAAAAATAGAGAATAATCCGTCTCGATTGCCCTCCGAAACAGATTCCTCTGTACGTGAAGCAATGCGACCTGGTTGAGGGATGTGTCGTGATGTGAGTGATTCAACACGATCACCAGTAGTTGAGTTACTGGAGATACTGTGGGGTATTGATTCTATAGCGTGCACTGCGACCAGGTTGTCGCATTGGTTACGGGTATCGATCTGTCGACTATTCGTTGAACACACTTGTCTGTCAAGGATGTGTCGCTTAATTTAAAAGTTACTACAAGATCATCAATAATGACTAATTTGTCTGTTTCAGTCAACAAAATATGTTTGGAAGGGTAAGAAGTCAATGAGGTAGTTCTGTATGTTTGTTTCTATTAGGTCCGAAAGCAAATATTTTGGATGCTTGTGATACAACCAGATCAAACTGACTCAGTTTATTCATATTGATGTACGGTATAACGTTTCTATTTCCTCAATACAGCAGCAATTGTACATGTGTCTACACCAGAAATGGCATAGATATAATAGTTACCTGTACATTCTACACCTTGCAAGGCCCCTTGAACATCCGGGCTGGATTGATCTTCCGAAAACAATGCTTTTCTTTAAAGGCGATTAACGGGTGCTGGGAACTGGTATCATGTATCCTGTGCCAATCCCGTGTTTACACACTATAAAATTTGTTTAAGGATAAATAATTTATTAATTATTATATTTCTGATCCACAATTCAGTTTTCGTATCAATATATGTTCCCAGTATATTCGATGTGGAATGGTTCGGGTTTACACACAACAAAGTTAGCCTGATAAGAAATCATCCATTCATTGTTGTTTGTCCTGATACACAAAACAGGTTTCGAATCACTATACATTTCCAGTATATTCGAAGCACAAGCCTTTCGCTTTGTTTTATTCGACGATGGAGACGGACAATGAAGGCTTTATCAACTATATTTCTTTTGTCTGAGGTCTTGTTGTTGTCTCTCAATGCCAAGAATCCCAACGGTAATAAGTCAAAGTTCCAAACACACTTAGGAGTCGAGCTCTCTTCTATATTTTATGAAAGTCAACGGCTACTTAAAACTCTCTACCCTAATTATCTAAATAGCTTGAACACCAAGACGGTCTGATATCAGTTGTAAATATTTATGGTTCATCTGTATCTTTGATCGCCAGACCATTCCTAACTGTACCATCATCAAAATACAAAAATACATTGCAAATATAAAATACTACTTTATTGCAAGAAAATGATTAATACAGTACAAAAGGAGACAATAAACGCTGTACAATGTTGTAGAATTTAATATAATTGAGGAAAACGTCTTTGTGCAATAGGAACTTAATGGTGAATGACACAATAAGAGATATCGCTGCTGGAGATGTTGTGGAACATTGATTCTAAAAGAGTGTATGATACCACTGTGGATGTCGCTTGGGTTGATAATTGAGTTACATCATTTCACCCATACCGGATTCCATCCTTCCTCATAGATGTTTGCCAGATATATTCAGTATTAGATATTCCGGATAAATGCAGTGACAGTTTATCCTGAACTGGAATACATTACTGCGTGTAATGTAGAATTGTCAATTCTTAGAAAATCTCGAACTGTCAGAATATTTTCTGGGCTCCAAAAATAATACTTCCCTCAAGAAGAGGTTTTATGACTGTTTGTTTGTTGTTTCACGCCGCACTCAACAATAATCCAACTGTATGGCAGCGGTCTGTAAATAATCGAGTCAGACAATCCAGCGATCAACATCATGAGCATCGGTCTATGCATCTGGGATACCATGACATATGTCAATCAAGTCAGCGAGCCTGACCACCCGATCCCGTTAGTCGCCTCTTACGACAGGCATGGGTCGCTGAAGACAAATTCTCACCCGGATCTTCTTGTATTAGATGTAAATTGAATCAGGGAAACGTAGGGAAACGTGAAGCACAAAGGAGGAAATGTGAAACATATTTGTTCTGCAAAATACAATGTATCTTAAAGATACTTTACCAACTACTGTTCGTTCAAATATATTACATGACTTCAGAATTTCAGACTGATTTTCCATCCAGTGGATCTAAGCGCTCAACTAGCTCTATTATTCCATCGATTGTAAGGTTATGGAACACTATTCAAGGTATAAGACATCTGTATTCCAGTTTTAGTCGTACATAAAAGAAAATGTGTTGCACTTTCGTGTTTTTCTCATGCTGTAAAAAGTTGCTTATTGGTCATACCCAATTACCATACAGGAGCCAGTTAAATTATGATTTATACAGAATACATATAAAATGTGATTCTACGTATGTTTTGGTTTCTACCACATATTAAATCCCTTAAAACTAAATGCCTGAAGGCACTTGACTTGTTGAAAGTCGTTTCCAATTCTAAGTGGGGAGGGGATCAATCTACCCTCCTACATCTATATCGATCACTGGTACGTTCCAAACTTGATTATGGTTCCTTCGTTTATGGTGGAGCCTGCAAAAGCAGCCTCAAACTATTAGATTCTGTCCACCACCAAGGTCTAAGACTTTGTCTTGGGTCCTTTAGAACTTCTCCTGTTGACAGTCTCAACGTCGAGACCGATGAGCCATCTCTTACACAACGCCGTATAAAATTATCCTTGCAGTATGTAACAAAACTATATTCTTATGAGTCAAATCCTGCATTTAACTGTGTTTTTTATCCTCTTTATGAGGATCTGTACAACAAAAAGCCTTCTCTTGTTCAGCCTCTTGGTTTGAGAATTAAACCATTCATTTCTGCTGCCGGCATTGAGCTGGAAAATATATCTCCTTCCCGTCTTCTTTCTTCTCCTCCGTGGCAACTGGTGAGGCCTGAAGTTGATCTAACTCTGACAAAGTTTAAGAAATCTGTAATGATTTACAATATAAATAAGAACATAATCAATTAAAAAATAAATATAATACATACAAATCCTTATTTACAGATGGATCCAAGGATGGTGGCGCGGTGGCTTGTGCCACTGTCATTGGATCCAGAACAATATCTTCTCGACTACCAAATGACAGCTCTATTTTCACAGCAGAAGCTAACGCCATATTAACAGCTCTTAAATATATTAATAAACACCGTAAATATAAACAATGCATAATATTTTCCGATTCTCTTTCGTGTCTTCAGGCTATTAAAAATCTTTCTTGTAAACATCCACTTTTATTAGAAATTATTGAATTGTATAATGAGCTTGCTACTGGCCAATGCGACATCGTCTTTTGTTGGTTACCCAGCCACGTTGGTATTTCTGGGAATGCAATGGCCGATCTTGCTGCTAAGGCAGCACTCAACAAATCTGTGACACCACTTCTGATCCCATACTCTGATTACAAAGCTGCATTCAGATCTTATATCCGTGATCTGATGCAGAAGAAGTGGGACACCCAAAGAGGTATCAATAAATTACATGCAATAAAACCAACTATCGGTTATACTTACTTGGGTTGTCAGTCCAGATTTGAAGAGGTCATCATACGACGATGTCGTATTGGCCACACAAGATATACTCATGAGTACCTATTAAAAGGTAAGGATCCTCCGTTTTGTATCCCTTGTGATGAATGAATCACGGTCAAGCATGTCCTGCTTGACTGAGTTGAATATTCCACCACAAGGGATATCTATAATTTCAAATCACAAACTATGAAGGATATTTTTAGTTCTATAAGTTCTCATTTAATTATTGCATTTTTAAAAGAATTAGACTTGTTAACTGATTTGTAAATAGATACATATTTTATTATTGATCTTATTATTTAGATCAGTAACTGAGATTGTTAGTGGCTGTACCCTCAAAGGGGGTTGAAGTAGCGTAAAATTGTTGTCCTCCTGAGAGGGTACGTAAGTCCCGAAACATTCAAAGGAAATTTAAATATTACCAGCTGTTTTAAATGTAGTATTCTTGTGTTTTTAATTTTGGCTAAATTTGACTTCAATCGCCAGCGGCTGAAGGGGTGATATAAATCCAACTAGGGTCCGTGCAGGTAGCGAAAGGACTGTAAGTCCCCATGGTCCCTAGTTTGGTGATCTACCTTCAGTTGTTGGCGATCTATTGCCAGTTTTTATATTGTATTGTCCAAATAGTGCTATTAGTTTTAATTTTCCACACTTGTTTTAGTTGTAATTGTGATATTCTAGTTGTTTTATGGTCTTTTGTCGACTGCTTTTTATAATATACATCTATTCCATTTCAATGTCACATATGTTCTCGTCACGATATGGCTCAAATATTGCCGATGTGACGTTAAATAATAACTCACTCACTCACTCACTCACTCACTCACTCACTCAATGTGGTTCATTGTTTATCAGAGTGTCCACTATATAACCACCAGCAAAAATCTATGTTAAGTCATCGATCATAAGTCCGGGTTTGAATGGCTCTAAATGATGAACCGTACTGGAGTAGCTGGGGACATTGTGGGTATTGATTGTAAAAGTTTTTACTTTGCCACCCGGGTTGTCACTACTGATTCCACCCTTCCCTATCGATTGTTGCCAGATATATTCAACATTATATGTTGTTGTTTGTATACAGTCAGTCACTGTGAATATACACGGCAAGTCACTTAGGTCACAAGGAATAAAATCAGTTTTAAGGGCCTTGTACTGTGTAGTCCTATTGATACAACATCAGACAAAACCTGTTCTTGCTGAGGCGTCAAATCACTCTGGTCTGGGAGAAGTGACCATCCCGAGCATATCACGATTCATACTGACGGTGATTCCGGTGCAATTCTCATTTGGACTTGTACCATACGTTCCCGAATTATATCAGGGGGACAATTGACTAGTCTTTGCATATGTTTATGACGCGTGGCACAGGTAGAGCAGGATACGCTCACCTTTTCACGAACACCTGGTATCATCACTATTTCATAGTGATTCATAAACACATGCTCTGTCATCGTATAGCATAGTGACAAGCACTGGATTTTCTGGTCCGGACTCGATTTGTTTACAAGCAACATCGTACAGCCCTAATACTGCTGAAACAAATACATTTATATACTCATGAATGAATAGTCACAATTGTAAATCGACTCTGCTTTTTACAGAGATTTCATATGGATGTAGAAAGAGATTTGTTGCTTCCATTTGTGTAGATATCAGGGGCGGTGTCTGGTGGTAGTGTATATATGTATTTTTATTAACGTGGAAATCAAGTTACCCCACCTGTCCGCTCTGCCCCGACCTCCCCAGCAAACAGCCAGTCTGGTAGAAACCAATACCCCTCGAAGGGCCTCAGACCGTGAAGATCCGTGTTAGAATTGGTCTTGAGCCACCCATACTTGTCGTAAGAGGCGACTAACAGGATAGGGTGGTCAGGCTCGCTGACTTGGTTGACACATGTCATCGTATCCCAAATGCGCAGATTGATGCTCATGCTGTTGATCACTGGATTTGCTGACTCGATTACTTACAAACCGCAGCCATATAACTAGAATATTGCTGAGTGCGGCGTAAAACAACAAACCAGCCAAACCAAATCGATGGGCTTCGAACAAGGAACTACCTGGTAGGTGTGAGCTAAGGAGTTGAGTCAAAACCATGGCTGCTATTCACACCACAGAACAATCTTATATCGTAAGCTCTTGACATTTTTACGGACGATTCATTACAGTTCGAACTACAAACTCATGAGTGAGTAAGTTTAGATTTACGCCACCTTTAGCAATATTTTGGAGGAGACAGGAAATTAGCTTCATTGTACCTATGTAAGGATTCGAACCTGGTTCTTCGGTGTGACGAGTGAAAGCTTTAACCAGTAGGCTACCGCACGGCCCCTAACATATAACAGAAATACATCAACCGTAATATCTATACCTCATGACAAAAATATTGCCGGGGTGCCGTTACAATGTAAATCATTCACTCATTCAAGAAACTATATTAACCATAATGATAAGCAGACATACTTCTGTTGGTATACAGTTAGATATATAAATATTGCAATTTGTTTTGTGCAAACGTAATTCAAAATGTACATACTTATCTTTTATTTCATGGCACTACAAAAACAAGTTATATTTCAGCTTCCTATGGATGTGGAGATGGTTTTGTTGCTTTGAATTATAGTTCTGATGTGGATAAACACGGTAAGGACAATAGGGTTCATCAAGTTCTGTTTCTTCTTCTTTCTAATGTGCGTTCTGAAAACATCGTGCCCTGACTGAACTAACACCGAAAGACTTTCAGTAAGTTCTGTTTTCCTCATTTTTGTAATCAGCAAATCGGCATGGATAATAAACTTATTAAAATACTAAATGAGAATTACAGAATATACAAAGATGTACGGCCACCTATATGTGTGCTCCTCCTAGTTATATATCGATTGTGTATCAATTACGATTATGGCTAAAATGGATGGAATTATCATTAAAACGCCCGCATGTTATCAGAAATGAGCGGGCCACTGTAACTTGATAATGCCCCAAAATTGCTTGACGACGGGCCTTTATCACGCCCGTTGTTAGATGACGTCATAAGGAGCTCAGCTCTTGATGTTCAATCACCCATGACGTCAGGTCTCACTTCACCAACACGTCTGCATGTCCTACGGCTCGTTTGAACTTGGGTTCAATATTGACGATATTTCCGACTCACATTCGTCACATTATGCATTATGCACTTTCTTGCATGTGCCTACCTTAACAGTTGTACCATAGATTACAACATGCAGCAATGAAAACATCGACTGGAACTCTAACGTTGTTGAGCACTGAAAAGAATGGCGGCTGGTAGGCAAAGGCCAAGGTCGAATGTCTTTACGCTCAATAGTAACGTCATCTGTTTTGTTCTATGACGTTTCCATATTTGTAAAAAGTGGGCCATTAACCTCCGTCGTTTGTTCAAAAATGCTTCAAAACCGATACCGTTGTTTGCTATTATTTTATTAAAAATTCCAACCATTTTAGCGATAATAACGGTAGCGCTATTTTTTAGGGCATTATCATTTGCAGTAGCCTTCGGTCTTTTTCAACCCTTATAATATATCATGAACACGTGTTTATCAGTCACTATCAACTAAAGAGAAAATGATTGTGTTATCTGGAGCGAACGCTTTAACCATTATACTACCACACAAAGACAAAAGGCAGGTCCGTGCAACACATTCACTTGTACAACATTGCGGGTTTTGTCAAATGAAATCGGATCGATTGAATGAATCCGGTTATATCATGTTTATCAGTCATCAAGAGCGATGATACCAGTGTTTTCACTGAAGAGAGAATCTGGTTATCTGGTGGAAAGTGCATTATTTTTGCATACTTTTGTTAGGTCTGAGTTAACAAGAACAAAAGATCTGATTAACGTTCAGCAGATGAGGTATTATTGCTAACAGGTTACACTACTGATGACAGTCAGTATTGTTCACGTTCGTTTGATCATGACACTATTGCTGGCACGTTTTACGAATTAAATTATTGCAGTGCAGAATTTTAAGTAATGAGAGATCCAAGGCTCTGTGTCACTCGTCAGCTCTATGGTCGTTTCGCCGTAATGTTCTGTCCATGAGAATATTGCGTGTTGGAATAGCTCCGAAGTAATCCAGATTGACAGACAGATACTTCATCTTTTAGTCTCACCTCATATACAAATGTAAAAGGACATGAGAATACAATGGTATAATACATAAGCCACTCTGTAACCGTTTTGAGAGAAATGTGTATAAAACAGAAAGTATATATGTTACAGTGAATGTACTGAAAGGTCACATGCAACGTAAAACACAACTTTGCAGATTCTGATACCTTTCGGTATGGACTTACCGAAACAAATCGTCAAAAAATGCAAATTCAACTTATAAAGTTGAAAAATAACGCGATGAAAAAAAACGCGCGAAATCGGAGTTCAAACGTTTCACTAATTTCCCCCCGACTTTTCTGGGGAAAACGGGTTTCAACAGCTGGGCTGCGCTCATAGCACGTGCGCAGTGAAATAGGTTCGCGCAGCTTGGAAGCGGGTTGTCCGGTTGTATACTCGGTGAAGGCTTTGGTGTGAGCTATTTTTCTAATGTTTTGTTGATATCTCACAGGCGCGAGCTTTTTATATGTTATGACAGTAAATAAACTGTTTATATAATTTCATTTGTCTATTTCACCACACGTTCTTCTTACCGAGTCACTTTCTCAGTTCGATACTTAAAAGCAATGTCATTATTTAGCGTTGACAGAATTTCTAACTGTGATATATATATGTCGTTGTCACAGACAAAACTCAATGTCTTGTTTTATTGACACCTGTGTGTCTGCCTGCCTGTCTGCTAATGACAACATTCAATACACAGCTGCTATCACTGACCACATGCAATTTGAACTTAACACCAATCAGGCTATACACCATAAACAAAACGCATTGATTTATGGCCCGAGTTCGGTCTCTGTAACATTATGTAATTACACAGACAGGTAGGTGTGCTACTTGAACACATGACATGTTATGATGTCTGTTGATTGCAAAATGTTATACACAAAAAATGAGCATGTATTTACAAAACCCAACATCTCTATATATACACACACAATAGCCGTGAGGGCATCTGCAAATGAACCAGCCGTTACACTTGAGTGCACACCCACCCGCTCTGACTGGGTTCGGTATCCCGGCTGCTTCGTTTCTTGGGAAGTAAACCGAAGTACACAATATTGCACTTTTGATTTGCGATTGTACGCTTATAATTTTGTTTATATGTTTTTTCATAACCAAGAATGTATATTATATGTCATGAATAAGTGATAATTGTGTTTTAATTATGTTTGATTTTTTGGTTGCATGTGACCTTTAAGGTAGCAAGTACTGCTGATAAGAAGTCAAATCGCCAGTACTATGTCCTTGGTCGCTATGAAGTCCTGCAGTGTGCTGATGTAGAAAAGCTGGTTCGTAAGCGTACCTTCCCAACCTCCTTGCTACTTTGCACACATTGATGAGATGTTCGACATTGTGAAACGTGCCCACATTTTCACAGTTCATGGTGGGAGAGACAAAATGATCAAAGAGTTAGACAAGTATGCCAACATCACCTGTGATGCCATTAAACTCTTCAAATCTCTGTGTGTCCAGTGCCAGAAGAAGAGAAAGTGTCTCACCACCAAGGGTGTGGTTGTAAGTCCAATTCTCTCCAAAGACTTTAGTTCCCGTGCACAGGTTGATATGCAGTCAATGGCTAAAGGTTACCACCGTTGGATCATGGTGTACCAGGACCATCTCACAAAATACTGTGTACTGCGCCCCCTCACTTCGAGCGTGCTGCAGAAGTTGCTTTGCAGCTAATAGATATATTTTTGCTGTTTGGTGCGCCACAGATTCTTCAAAGTGACAACGTCAGTGAATTTACCGCATTGGTCATCAGTGAGCTGAAGGTTATGTGGCCAGATCTGTTGATGGTACATGGCAAGCCTCGTCATTCCCAAAGCCAGGGGTCTGTAGAACGTCTTAACTGTGACATCGAGGATATGTTAGTTGCCTGGTTAGCGGTCAATGACACAACCGACTGGCCCAATGGACTACGATTTGTGCAGTTCCAGAAAAAACAACAGCCATCACTCTGGAATCAAGCAGTCACCTTTCAGAGCCCTGTTTGGAAGTGAGCCGAAAGTAGGTCTTCGTTCGTCTACCCTTCCCCCTGAAATACTGGAACGTCTGGTCACTGAAGATGACCTCCATGCAGCATTCGAGCCGTCTACAACACCGTCAGCAACACACCAGCAGGACCATCCATCCTCTGCAGAGTCATCATCATCAGAGATCTCACAGATTGAGGAGCAGCATCAAAACAGCCAGCTAAACCGCAAGGAAGCTGCTGATGGACGGTTTGCTCAAGCTGAACGCATGGTGAAACGCAGTCGTTTGGAACATGTTGCTGGAAATCCAGGTGATAATGTGACAATACCAATCCCCCTTGTAGATCGTGGCAAAGGGGAACCCCGAAATATCATGGGTGTTATATTGGATGGAAATGAGAATGACTTGTATCGAGTTGCTGTGAGATCTGGTATCCTGAAGGAACGCTACTGCAGAAGTCAATATGACTTGAGCGCTCAGAACAATTTGTCCATGGTTGATGTACAAACTGACAAAGAAATTGGACTGCGTCAAGCTGTGCAGCAAGAATTAGTCTGTGGTGGTCAAGGATACACTAAGTGCAATTGTGCGCAAAATGCTAAGCAGTGCAAAACCATCAAATGTAAATGTTACAAAGCAGGACTTAAGTGTAATAGCCGTTGTCATTCAAGCTTGAATTGCCACAATAAATGAGTTCGTGTAAATTGATGATTTGTTTGTCCTTTAAATCGAATCTGTATTATTTGAGATAGCAAAAAGATCATATCAGGAAATGTGTAAAAAAATCAGGCCCTCAAATCAGGAAATGTGTAAATGTCCTGGAATATTTAGGAAATGTGTACATTTACTGAGTGAATCAGGAAATGTACACATTTCCTAAATATTACAGGAAATATATACAATTCCTGATTTGACACATTTACTGTAACATGTACGCCAAATAAATCATAAGGCATTCGTCCATTGTCACAACGGATATTCAATTACGTGTGTAGAATAGTTAGAAGATTAGGGTTTATAAGGATTTCTATGTGTAGCTCCCCCTCTCCCGTGTAACCATTCTTCACAGATTTCACTGAGAATTCAATTTCATCCTCACTGATTGGAGCTTCAAAAACAGGATTCTCATTTAGTACCAGCTGACTGTAATTTTCCGTCCCATGAGTTTGGTGTAGTGGTACATCCAGGAACTTATTAAACTCCGATATCCATTTATAGAGCACTTCTTGTTCGTCACTTGACTGAAGGACTGACTGAGTTTGGTTTTACGCCGCTTTTAGGAATATTCCAGCAACATCACGGCGGGGGACACCAGAAATGGGCTTCACACATTGTACCCATGTGGGGATTCGAACCCGGGTCTTCGGCGTGACGAGCCAATGCTTTAACCACTGGGCTACCCAGTCAGGATATCCGTATTCGTGTTTAACACTGGACCGTCAGGTATCAGATCCTGGTACCACTCCATGAACATTCTCATGTGTACCAATTATCCAGATTAAGAGGGAATCACATAGTATTGCGGGGTACCTGCTGGTCATAAAATCAATTACATAAGGGTGTAATATATGAACTCCAGCCGTAAACACTTCTGTGTCCAAACATCTGCTACTAAAATCTCTAAACACAAATACCTGACTTTCGGTATGTTTGTATGTTGACTGCATGTTAGAGTGTTTGTATCTTAGAGTGTCAAAAACTGTACGCTTGTAGTAGATTGTCTGGGGATAGATAACATACACACATCTGGTAAACATTGTGAGAAGTGAAAGCTATTATAATCCTTCAATGGGATCATCTATATATTTACTTGGAAACCTGGCAATAACGCTGATTTCATTATGGTGCCATCGCCACCTGAACCACACTTAGCCCAAGTGTGTAATAACTTTCAAATTTGACCAAACCATGTATAATCGGGTACAGATAAACCGTTGTCTATTGTCCGATGAGTTGCTGCTATGCCGAACAGAGTCTGTGTAGTACGCACCTGCTTACTGTCAGAAGAAATGTCGGCGCTCCAACCGTTCGGTTTTCCAAACCAAAGACTGGCTAATGTTCATTCTGGGGCCTGTCACAGGTTTGGCTGACAGTCCGTTCATCCCGTGAAGAACGGTAACTCTTGTGGTTGCACCGTGTGTCTGTCACTCCTGGAACCGTTAGCTGGATATCGTTGGTTGATGGGTTGGCCGTATCGCCACACTTTAGCTACAAAGAGGCGACTAACGGGGTCAGGTGGTCAGGCTCGCTGACTTGGTTGACATATGTAATCGTATTCCAATTGCGTTGATCGATGCTGGTGCTGTTGATCACTGGATTGTCTGATCCAGACTCCAGACTACTGAGTGCGGCGTTAAACTGCTCGTTCGCTTTCGTCTCCTGGACTAGTGGCCTCTTCGTACTGTTGTTGGTTGGTTGTTTGATACTCAGTGTCAGTTGATGGGTTGCTACAAATGTTAGTTACCCAGTTACCCGCCATTACGCTGTCAACAAAGTCTTGCGACGAGTTCACATCAATACCTTCCTCAAACATAATTTCTTCACAGATGTGAACTACACACTAATTGAAGAGTTTAAGTGGCGTTCGGGAAACCATAAAAAACGCATTAATCACTAAAATCAGGATTTGCCAGAGCTCAAAGGAGGCTGACGCTCAAACTCACGCATGTGCATTTATCCGAAAAAGGCGTCATAATGTGTTGGGTGGTCAAATTTAGTGACCGGGACGGTAGCATGGCTCTTCTCAAACTCATTGGTTTCATCACTGTTTTTTCAGTGATCTGATTCACCATTATTCACCATTGTACACAATTTTCACCATTGTTTTACCTTTTACGCAGAGTCGAATCCGTTTGAATAACCAGATGCACATGACTGATTGTTCATTGGTGGGTTTGGTTTTTTAGTTTACTATTTAGTTTCAATCACAATACTTTGATAATCATCATATCCAACTGGAAATTCGTAATGAGTGCCAGGAATGAAGTGGATCAGCCACGTACTTCAACTTTTCACTGTCAGTCAACGCAGACACTTTCATCTCTACCATATCAACTGGAAGTACCTAAATGTGGTTTATCAGTTTCTTCACGTTTACTGTGATGAGGATGAAGTCGGATGGAAAACCTACATCTGTTTCGGGAGCTCTGCAGCAACATTCCGCTTGGTACCTCCTGACCGAGAGGTTTTAAGGTCGATGAAACTGTCTGGCCGTACCTTAGATGTTGATGATGTTTCTGGACAAGAGGTGTCTTCATGCTTTGAAAGAATGCTTTTTATTTTTGTTTGCCTCTATTGATGGTTTTGCTTTTTAACTGGTGTCATGGTCTGGACTACTTCTGATGGATGTTTCTAAGAGAGATGTCTCTTTCAGACATGATGGATTATCTTCAGAAGGAACCAATGCCACAAAATGGTTTTAGTTCAAAGGGCGTGGGAGAGCTCCATCTCCTGACCACATGACATGAATGGAACCTTTTGACATTGGAGGCTTGTTGGGAGGTCTTATCGTTGCATTAAATAACGGTGTAATTGCCTGATTAAGTTCAGGATAGACACAATATACTGTCTCGCTAAGAATGGATGGTGAATCATGAAAGACCATGATCTATCCCTCATTGCATGTTTTTCGCCTCAAATTCCAGTGCCTTATGTCCTGTCTGTGGAATCAAATTTGCCTGTAGTTTCTAGTGTTAACAACATTGAAAACAGAGTGTCTTCATGCGAAGTTAACATACTAGTATTTGGAAGTTTGGCTGCCTAAGAGATGAGTTCATGTTAAAGGTGTAATAATTCGCATTCAGATAAAGCTCACTGATGCAGTAAGCAAACGAAATAATTTTGACAATGAATCAGTCACCTACCAGCAATACTGAAATACTGTTATACAAAACAGTTTCCATCCCAGGAATCTTCACAGCAGTGTAGGTTGACTCAAATTCTGCTTTGTAGCAATTATGGCTCTGCCAAATTGTTTTGTAATCGTTGTTTCAATAAAGGTCCAATAATGTCCATATTTTTATAAATATAGTGTCCACAGAATACCTATACCCCTCTTTCAAAACAATGTGCCAAATGTTTCAGTTTATGCATATTTGCAACTAGTAGACCTCGACTTTCATGTAGCAACGAAGTTAAGCACACCAACGCTTGGCACTGAGCACAACGTCACAACACATGCGATTGCATCATTGTCATTTCTATCTACTTTACTACTTCACACGTTTGTCCTCGTAGGTCCGTGTGGTGGCAGCGAGGCGTGTACCATTTCAAGGGTTATCACAGGCATTCATCACTGTATGAAATACAATGATGTTTTTTCTCCTGAGAGGGTACGTAAGTCCTTTCAAAGCTAAGTTTTCAACTTACCAGATTTTTAAAACGCAGTATTTTTTTTCTTTAAAGTTGGCTAAATATTTCCTACATTCGCCAGCGGCTGGAAGGGATGTTGTACATCCTACTAGGGTCCATGCAGGTAGCAAAGCACAGGTAGTCCCCACGGTCCCTAGTATGGTGATCTACCTTCAGCTGTTAGCGATCTATAGCCTGTTTTTTTCCATTGTATCGTCCTCTATAGTTAATTAATTGTTAGATTTAATTACTAGTTTTAAATATATATCTGTGATAGTCTATAGTTGGTTTTACTGTCCTTTGTTTTCATCGCTATATGGCTGTAATATTGCCGATGCGATGTAAAATTTTAACTCACTCACTCACAATGAAGTTTTTAATGAAATTATTTTGTAATTTAAATGCAATTTAATTAGAAATGAATGGTAACATTTTATTCTCAACTTTTAAGTCTATACGATTACCAATTACCTCTGAATTTAGCTGCTGACGTGTTTTCTGGCAAATGATTGAAGAAGTAACTAACAGCAGAAATAAAGATGGAACCTTTAAGTCAGATAAATTAAGAATAAAGTTGGTCTATATTAGTGCTGCAGGCGATGCATATATTCCAAGTCCTCACCGAAACCTTGACTTCTTTCTTCTTTTCTTCTTCTGATTTCCGTATATCAGCTTTATAAGCTTAAACAGAATCTCACATGCATTTCATCACTGATCATATTGCAAAAATATCTTATGCTGAGTCAGTGTTGTCTTGTGATGCTCCAGTCAACTCAGTCACGATATGGTTGCAATATTGCCGATGTGACGTTAAATCTTAACTCACTCACTCACTCCAGCCAACTCAAGGTCATTAATCACCAAATGTAAAAGCAGCCAGGTATCTGTGTGTTTAATACAGACCGTCCAGAGATCAGATCCAGGTACCAGTCGATGAACATTCTCCTGTGTACCAATTATCAAAGTTAGGAGGGAATGGTCTGATATAGTACGGGGATCAATATCTTCTAAACTAAGTTCACGTTCTACTCGTGTCCCAGCACGTTCAACTCCTTTGTAAAATATAGAAGTGTAACAAGTTATTAGTGTGTTTCTTTCATTTAAGATACACCAAATTTGGTCGCATAGTCGCATAGTTTTGCGGCGCACCTGCTGGTCTTAAAATCAATTACATCATGAGTAAGTGTAATATATCAACTCCAACCATAAACTCTTCTGTGTCCAAACATATGCTAGTAAAGTCTCCAAACACAAATACCTGACTTTCGGTATGTTTGTATGTTGACTGTTAGAGTGTCAAAAACTGTACACTTGCAGTAGATTGTCTGGGGGTCGATAACATACACACATATGGTAAACATTGTTAGAAGATCTGTGAAAGCTATAATATTCCTTCAAAACAATCATCCATTATATTTACTTTGGAAACCTGACAATAAAGCTGAATAATTTCATGAGGGACCCATCGCCACCTGACTGGACTGAGTTTGAGTTTTTTAGCAATATTCCAGCAAACATCACGGCGTGGGACACCAGAAATGGGCTTCACATAATAATGTACCCATGTGGGGATTCGAACCCCGGGTCTTCGGCGTGATGAGCCAACGCTTTAACCACTAGGCTACCCTGCCGCCCCTTATCGCCACCTGAACCACACTTAGCTCTGGTATGTAATAACTTTCTTTATTAACCAAACCATGTATAACCAGGTACAGATCAGGTGTCATTTGTCAGGATATTTTCTGCGATGCCAACTGTCAGGAAGAAATGTCGGAGCTCCAGCCGTTTACATTCCCAAAACAAAATGACAGCTAATGTTCATAATGAGCCTGTCACGGGGCTGGCTTGCAATGTGTTCATCCCGTGAAGAACGGTAACTCCTGTCCACGTCCGCCTGATGTGTCTGTCATGCCTGGAAACGTTAGCTGGATACCGTTGGTTGATGAGTTGGCCGTCTCGCCACCGTCAGGGTCATGGTCCTGAGATGCACGTCATTTACTTCCTAATACTTCAGCCACAAAGAGGCGACTAACGGGATCAGGTGGTCAGGCTTGCTGACTTGGTTGACACATGTCATCGTATCCCAGTTGGGTAGATCGATGCTCAGGCTATTCATCACTGGATTGCCTGGTCCAAACTCGATTAATTACAGACTTCCGCCATATAACCTGCATTCGACACTGTAACACCACGTTATTTTAAACCATTTTTCAGAAAACCTTTGACTTAAGAGACCACATTTTCATTCTGTCCCTCTGGTAAGTGTTGTATGACAATGTTCAACTCTCGTTATGATTCTTGAGTGTGTGTTGCTTCTTGGATACACCAACCTTATCCATAGCATATACTTAGTCACAGCTTCAGTTTTGTTATCAATAATTTTGTCTGTTTCTGTTCCATATTTGATTCAAGTTGGCCAAACAAACTTATGCAGGTAGGACGACAACTTTTCAGTGTTGTCAGACTTAGAGTTACCTATTTTGGTTTTTTCTCTCTCCTTAGCTTCTTGTTGTTCACATATTCGTTCGCTTTCGGCTCCTGGACTAGTGGCCTCTTCTTACTGTTATTGGTTGGTTGATTGATACTAAAAGTCAGTTACCACGTTACCCAGTTACGTGCCATTACACTATCAACAAAGTCAATATCTTCCTGAAACATGATTTCTTTACAGGTGTGCATTTATCCATGCCAGTTGAAAGAGGCATCTTAATGTGTTGGTGGTCAAATTGAGTGACACGGACGATAACGTCGCTCTTAGCTGACTCATGGGTTTCACCACTGTGTTTTCAGTGATCTATTCACATAATTTTCACCATTATTTTACCTTTCACTCACAGTCGAATCTGTTTGGTCAGAGTACTATGACTGATTGTTCTTTGGTGTTTATGTTTAGAAATTTACCGTTAATTTCAATCACAATACTTAATATACAATACAATAATGTTATTCATGATAAAACCGGCCCACGTTTGATCAAATTTTTGTAATTTACCGTTAATTTCAATCACAATACTTTAATATACAATACAATAATGTAATTCATGATAAAACCGGCCCACGTTTGATCAAATTTAGTAATTTACCGTTAATTTCCAATCCACGTTCCACCATCATGCAGTAGAGAAGACAACAACAATAATATACATCTACCTTGATCTTACATAGACATTGTCACAAGAGAGATCAACCGAAGCAGTCATGCTTGTGTTGATGAATTAACACGTCTATACACAATAGGAATATCTGTGTTCCGGAGGTATGACAGTGCATGTAAATCACAGGGGTATACCATGGATCATAGAACCAATGTACGTATCGAACTGGCAAACATACACATGCAGATGGTTGCTGATTGTACTGATGGCACAGACGTATTGATCAGGATGTACACAGGGCCCCCAAGGGAATTCTTTGTCGAAGTGTTTCCCGAGTACATCACCTGGATGAAGACATGATGTTAAGCGACTTGGCCTCCCAATGTTCTCAAGTTGTTTGTTTGTTGTTGTTTAAAGCTCATCATTTCCCCAGCTATATGATGGCGAGCTGTGAATAATCAATTCATGAGCATCGATCTGGGTAATTGGGATACGATGAAATGCATCAACCAAGTCAGTGCGCCTGACCACCTGGCCATTAGTTTCTAGGGGGTTGTAAGATAGACATAACGGTTTGGGCTGTAGGTTTTTAATGTAAACACTTGACATTAACCATATAAAAAAAAAACAACGTCTTCCACCAAACTGTTATTGGAGGTGGGACACTAGTGGGTGGTTTCTATTCAAACTGGAGCAGCATCGCATAGAAACTGCGCATCAATATTTGCTGTGTGATACAACCAATAAATATCGGTGAGCCTACCATTAGTTTCTAAGGAGTTGTAAAATAGACATAGCGGTTTTGGGCTGTAAGTTTTTTAATGTAAACACTTGACATTAACCATATGAAACAGAAAATCAATTAAAACGTCCTTCACCAAACTGTTATTGCAGGTGGGACACTAGCGGGTGGTTTCTAATCTAACTGGAGCAGCATCGCATAGAAACTGCGCATCAATATTTGCTGTGTGATACAACCAATAAATATCGGTGAGCCTACCGTCTTGTCGTTTTGTTCGTTGCTTAACACTTCAAGCCAATATCCCAGCAATATGACGGCGCTCAGTAAATACTCGAGTCTGGACCAGACAATCCAGTGATCATGACTCATGACATCATATGAGTATCGATCTACGCAATTGGGATACGATGGCATGTGTCATGTGTGTGCCTTCCAAGTTATTACACATACCATGTAGTATGTCTGGTCCACACTCAACTATTTACAGACCACAACCTAATAGCTGGGTGTCTCCGAAAGTGGAGTTGAGCATCAAGACGAACGGACATCAACGTAATTAATGGACGAGGTGTAATCGAAAGAAACGGGCGTAGGAATGCTAGGTTACATTACATGATAAACACATTTTTGTCACTCCATTTATTACCACCGACTGTTAATATGGACATTAAGATCCTTGTTTCACGAACAACTGTGGTCATTACTGACTTTCACTCATCACTTCAAATAGTTTTAGGGAAGGTGGAGTAGCCTTGTGGTTAAAACGTTCGACGAAGACCCGGTATGATTCTCATCATGGGTACATTGTGTGAAACAAATTCTTGTACTCCCCCGAAGCGATGTAGCTGGAATATTGCTAACAGCGGCGTAAAACCATACACATTCACACTCAAATACTTTTCATAACTAGTTTTCCCTATAACGCCCAGTAGAATCTGTTTCGGCAGATGACCGAGACTAGTTGTTCTCTGATGTTGACGTCTTCTATATGTGTTTGTGGCTGCGACTTAGAGGTCTGCCCATAGTACAACCCAGAATATGTAGAGGGTATCATGGAAAATGACAAAAGTATATTTGAAACGTTCGTGGACCCTCTTGTTGAAATATCCACATGGTAGTAAGACATAAATTCCATCAGGGCATGTGCTTATAAAGGCTCGGTGAATAACGTTTGATATACCCTCTTACTGTCTCGCGGACACCGGGTGTCATATACTTGTCACCACTATTTTCCCTTTTACACCAAAGGAATCTGTTGTGGCAGATAATCAAAAATATTCTCTGGCCTTGACCACCTTTTCTCACATATTGATGTACAAGCACACACTGGGGGTAGATCAGACAATACTCAACAATTGATGAGCACACAATGAATTTACCTTTCCACCACCATTTGGGGCAGTGGGTAGCCCAGTGGTTAAAGCGTTCGCTCGTCACGCCAAATGTCCGGGTTCGGTTCCCCACATGAGTACAATGTGTGAAGCACATTTCTGGTGTCCCCTGCCGTCATATTGCTGGAATATTGCTAAAAGCAGCGTAAAGCCCGAGTCACTCACTCTGCTATCATTTACTACAATTGGAAATTTGCCGGAATATAAAATGAGAAGCATCACCTCCGTCTTTAAAGTCAATGTCAATATACAATGCGCGAGGCCGCTTCCCTGTATTGAACTCCATGTTAACAGGGAGTTATTTTAATACACGTTGAGAATAATTATGTAACGCAATATTGCATGTTGAATTACATCTGCAGGATATGCCGAAGCTACACTAATGGGCGTTCTTTAGCAATGTCAGCTCTTTATGACACAATGGGCTTTGTTCGACACAGGAAATTCAAGATGCTTTAGAACAGCGTTTTCCCGTGTACAAACAATCCCCAGTAGGTAGCAAATATTAATCGTGGCCATGAAACGATTTATTCTGATAAGGCTCGTTTAAAATTCACATAGATTCGATGTGACGCAATGGTTTGTTTAACCTGCCATAGTTTCCAACCGGTTTGATATTTACATGTATTTATTCGATCAGTTTATCATTCCGATCGCCTTCTGATAAGCGTACTGGCGTTTGTTACCTGACTCGGTATACACGTCCCAAATGTTGCAGGTTGAACACTTCAGTCTCCCAGTAAACCTATTCATAATGATAAAAGGTTAGTGAGTGGGTTCAGTTTTACGCCGAACTCAGCAATATTCCAGCTATATGGCGGCAGTCTGTAAATAATCGAGTCTGGACCAGACAATCCAGTGATCAACAGCATGAGCATCGATCTGCGCAATTTGGATACGATGACAAGTGTCGACCAAGTCAGTGAGTCTGACCACCCAATCCCGTTAATCGCCTTTTACGACAAGCATGGGTTGCTGAGGACCAATTCTAACCCGGATCTTCACGTGTCCAGGAGGAGGAAGAGGAGGATGGTGATGATGATGATAATGATGATGATGATGATGATGATGATGAACGACCACTGCACCGGGTTTATGTGTATTGTGTCGAAGAGAAGAGCAGCCTTCCTGACTCCTTCGCATGGATGAGGTTAGCTGGTCTGAAAAGTGAAACAGTAGCTTTGTCTGAGCTGCTCAGGGACAGTCATTTCCCGCTCGGTGACAGACCGTTACAGTGTTATTTTGCGTAAAAATGTAAATATGAGCTTGGTATATTTATGAAACTCATGAAAGTAGGTATATCATTGAACTTTCTTTCTCTTTTGGCACACGAGCCAGATGATGGCATGTCAGGTATTATTACCCACGTGGTCAGCGTATGGGTAGGTGCATACTAAGCTCGTACGTCACACGAGTGTCGTATCGCATTGACCTGTGTCGTAACGAGGTAATATGCGGACCTCGCTTACGACATGTCACGCGTGCATCCCAAGTGTCAAGTTGTCCGACTCCCCATAATAATTGGTGACTTAGGTTTGCTACCTCCCAATCCTTTAAAGACGTACCAGGCGTTTGCTGCCAGGAACTTAGCCCTTCTGACAGTCAGAAAGATGCAGTGTTGGTGGGTCTGCACACCGATAATATCTTGGTGGTTTGACTGGGCAGTGCTTCCTGGATGAAGTACCATCCGTTGTCTGAGATACGTGTAAGGGGGACAATGGCCCTGAACTGATGAACTGTGAGGGCATTAACCGAACCGTCCTTCCTTCTTTCATTTCTTTAATCTGTTAAGATATTAATAATCCGATCAATTGATCAGTCTGAATTCGATTTCCTTGTCCAACTGCCTTGGTGTATATAACCAACCCATATATTATCCTCCCAGGTACCCATTCACTGCTGGTTGAACAATGACAGTTCCCGGAGGAGGACCAACAACTGTGACCGCTGATCACTGAACAAACTCTAAAGTTCTACCTTGTGTATCCAAGTGTGTGGTCTTGTTATTGTCCAACCATGGCCAAAACATGATACATTATCAATCAGGCTTCCGAATGTGATACAGAATATTTCAGACACTGTCATGCCTCATTAACTTGATACAACGTTTCAGATGGTGATTATGCCTTTAACATTCACAGTACAACTGTATGTAGTAGGAAGGCGATGTGAGAACACAATGGTTATAACGTTGGTTCGTCACGTAGAAGACAATGGCACGACCTTCCGCATGAGTTAAATTTTTAAGCCAATTTCTGCTGTTCCCTTCATGGTATTGCTGGAAATGGTTAAAAGGTGTAAAATCATACGCATTATGACATATTTTACTATAGTTCTCATTTGCTCAATGTTACATATGGAGCCTAATTGTACATACAGCTCCCGTTGTTAATTATACATCGCTGATCCTACAGTCTTTATGAATAACTTATAAACCACAAACTAAGACTTGTTGTTGGTCTATTTCTGAACGTTGCACTTAGCGATATTCCAACTATATGGCGGTGATATGTAAATAGACGAGTTTCGACCAGGCTACCCAGTGGCTGACATCATGAGCGTCGTTCTACGCAATTGGGACATGCATCCAGCGAACCTGACCATCTGATCCTATCAGTCGCCTGTTAAGACAAGCAGTGATCTTCATGGATATGGATAACTAAGATAAACATGAGTTAACTTTGATACACTGTACTTGACCTCGATAAACAGGCATCAACTGTTACTAACATTGTTGAACTTCCCAAAACAAGTCTTAACTTAGTAAACGGAGTTTAAGGTGGTAAATAGAGGTTAACTTAAATAGAATCTGGTTAATGGGTTAACTTCGATAAACAGGGGTTAACTTTGATTGCGGACATCTTTTTAGGAGGTGGCATCTGTTTCTTCAGCCGCTGTTGACGTTGCTGGTTTCGCTTGTAGAAGTCATTGAAATTGGCAGCGATTATGGCAATGGGCATCGGAATGACTAGAATCCCGAGAAGAGAACAGGTCGACCCCACTAGGTAACCACACACCCCAGATGGAACATAGTCCCCATATCCTACCGTTGTCATAGTAACCACTGCCCACCAGATTGATATTGGTACGGTGTCGAAGTGATTGTTTTCAAATTCGCAATAATATTGTATAGATCCAAACACTGTCGCGAATATCGTGAAGCAAAACCCCAACAGGATTAGTTCCGATTTGCTGCGGTTGATAGCCAAAAATATCACCTTCAGTCCGGTAAATCGCTCCGAAAGTCGTAAAAAGCGGAAAAGCCGGAATATATAGAAACTTCGAAGTACAACATACAAAATGAACATGTCGTAGTTTTTGGCAACGAATCCATATCTGAATCCCATCTCGGTGAGATACACACTCCATCCACCGGAAATCGTGACGATGTCGACCCAGGTGAGGAACCTCTTCATGAACTTCCGTTTCCATGCGCATGACAGGAAGTGAAGGATGAACTCCACGGTAAAGATACAGAGGCAAACAAGATCAATGGCGCTCAGGGCAGGGTACACCTTCGTAAACATCAACAGTTCAATCTTCAAATTATTACCACTTAGGTTCTTTCGAACTGAGCTGTTGATTTCTGCACCCGAGATTGGCACACGGAATTCAAGCATTGTTTCCAGACAATAGTTGATAGCAGACACAGCCACGAGGACCATAAAAACAGTGTTCCAGATCTGAAAATATAATTGGGAAAATATGTTAGGCAAGTTAGCTTGTATATTGATTAAATCTCTTTGGACTTCCGTTGCCAGTCTAAGAAACGAGATAGTGCTGTAGCCATTGATCCATGTATGAATATTCCAGCAATATTCCAGCTATATGAATATGCATTTTCGAGTATGGACCAGACAATCTGGTGATAAACATCATGAGCATCTATCTACAAAACTGGAATACTATAGCATGCGTCAACCAAGTCAGCGAGCCTGACCACACAATCACGTTAGTAGAAGCTATACCAGCTATTGATACTATGACTCACGACCAAGAAAAGTCTATTCATCTTTGTGGACCAATATTTCTGTCAATGGGTTTGTTGGTCACACAGTTGTAATTTACTTGATTTCATTCATTGTGCGTGTCTGAACTGCAAAGTCCGGAGTGTACGGCATACTGGAAACTGGAAGAAGTCATCGTGAAGTGGCCAATGTGATCAATGTTTGGCAGTCGATGATCAGCAGACTATACCAACAAACCACAGCTGACAATGGACCCCGTTCAGGTCGTCCCTGGTCAATGAAAAGACGACGACTACTGGAGCTCGAGTAAGAGGTCTGCTTAAAGCATATGCCCATAAAAAGTGGGAAAGAGTCTTTGAAACACAGTACGATAACACAATGCTACGAACTTATATATGATGCACAAAATGTAGTAATTTGAAATGGTTACAGATGAAGACATTATTCGATATTATACCTACAAACATATTCCTAAATAAAATCAGTCTAAAAGACACTTCTATGTGTACATTCTGTTCAAAAGAATTAGAAATAATTGTCCATCTATTCTGTAATTGTTCAAAAGATTTGGGAGAGTTTGACTAGATGGCTAATGGCTGTAACTGAAGGCATCATCGACTATACACCAGAAAACATCTTACTTGGATTTAAAGGGGAAAATAATAATTCTTTAATTGCAATATGTCTTGTTGTGAAACAGATAATATATACACACAAAATAAAACAAGTTCCAAATTTCAAGCATGTAGTAGGGGAGATATCAAAATATTATGAAATTACAAAATATAATGCTTACTCTACATGCAATAACAGTGAGTTATTTACAGTCTATTCACTGAGAATATTAGGTTAGGAAACATATTGTAAGTGTATTCAATCACTATTACCACTATTGGATACATAGACATAAAGTATGCAAACATATTCAAAGATATCTATTAATTGTATGATGGTGATTTGTGAAAGTATATTGAGTATATGTATATTGTGAATGTAGTCTACATATATTGCACTGTGGATATAGATGTTAAAAATAAATTAAAAAACTGATATCAGATGCAATTAAAAGTTTCAACTTGTACCATATATTCTCGTTGGATTTAAGGCAAATCATTAACTTGACTTTCGATGTGTTTGTGACAAACGCCATCCGTACGATAGGATACGCTAATGTAATCATATTATACTTGTAATCGTACAACGGACACAACAAATATATCTAATTTTATGATGATTGGTAAAGATTGACAACAATGTTATTTACACACATCAATCAATAATAAGTTATTTTGTTAACGAAGACAGATTGGTAGACGTGTTAACGTACCACAGCAAGACGCAAATGTATGTGCTATCTGACAACGAAGGACATATCTTTGAAGATTTATTCGACGAATGAATCATTATTTTTGTGAATGTTCATGAGACACTTCATCTTTGTCTTCAGTTCAAACAAATTATGGGCACAACGGGCGAAGCCTATATATTGTGTCCCCCGCCGTGATATTGATGGAATATTGCTGAAAACGGCGCAAAAAGCATGTTCACTAACTCAAACAAACAATTGTTTTCCAGAAAAAAACATTTATTGAAACAAATGGGTATAGCTAACCGGACAATATAAACAAACATTCTATACAATATAATGTACGTAGAATACCAAACATTAGTTTCGATGTCAACAAAATACGAATCCAGACACTAGATACATTGAAACCTCGTCTACAGCTCGATGTTTACGTGAAACGAAAAAAATATCACATCTAATGCATACTTCTTTATCCAGAAATCCGGTTTCCGGAACCGGGCAGTGAATTCCAATTACCAACAGTGAGAATTACAAACCAATAGGCCCACTTAACCCACAACGACCACGCTTGATGATGTTCATGTTGCAATCCATCACGCGGCAGTCAACATGAAAGGGGCGGGTAACATGTCATCACAGTGGTATTTGGTTACCTGTATACCTGTTAATTGGGCAGTCAGGTGAGATCTGACTTGAGGTTTGTGGTAAACATTAAAATGCTGTCTCCACTGTACATTGTATCGCAGTCATCATGTGAACCAACCTGGTCAGGGGGCAGTGGGGTAGCCTTATGGTTAAGCCATTCGCTCGTCTAAGATTACACCCGGGTTCAATTCTCTTATGGGTACATGTGAAGCCCATTTCTTGTGTTGCCAACCGTGAATGTGCTGGAATATTGAACCTGCTCATTGAATCTGATGAACGAAATAAAATTCAGTGACAGCTCGGTAAAAGATGTGAATCTATTAGTATGAGAACACAAATCCTAACACTTGACTTGTTGAGTACTGGCTTGACGAAATACCTCGTATACTATCCGAGATTATCTATCCGGTTTGTCTAGTCAGGTCTCGATCATCTATCTGGTCTTGTAAAAGAGGCCTCGATTATCTATTAGTTTGTCTCGTCATGTCTCGAGTATTAGGCCGCCGTCATACAACTGAAATACTGAACGTGGATTTAAGCCACAACTAACATTATAAGGGATATGAGGCGCTTTCATGGTTTCCAGTTAAGCGCCCCTCTGTGCCGATCTATTTCTTATTTTCCACTGTGAGTGGCCATGTTAAACCAGATTAGAGTCTAACACCCTTGTGTTGAAGCTGAAAGCTACTGCGTAAATACACAGAAACCCAGATTTTACTTCGAGACAACGAGACAACCTTAGTTTGACACATCACACTTCGACACAGCAGTACACTGATGGCCTAGTAAGGAACACACAGAGACCCAGCTTTTACTTCGAGACAACCTTAGTTTGACACATCACAGTTCGACACAGCAGTAAACTGTGGTCAAGTAAGGAACACACACAGACCCAGCTTTGACTTCGAGACAACCTTAGTTTGACACATCACAGTTCGACACAGCAGTAAACTGTGGCCAAGTAAGGAACACACACAGACCCAGCTTTGACTTCGAGACAACCTTAGTTCGACACATCACAGTTCGACACAGCCGTAAACTGATGACCAAGTAAGGAAAACCCACAGACCCAGCTTTTACTTCGAAACAACAAGAGAACCTTAGTTCGACACATCACAGTTTGATACATCCCAGGTCGACACAGCGGTATTTGACTAAAGTGTTTAACTCCAGGTATATCGATGACCTGCTATGATCGTTCAAACATATTCATACAGCCAATTCCCTTCCACTGATTTAAACAGTTGAACCAGAAATAAAAGAGTCCATTTGTTATTAAAATCAATGCATGCAGATTCAGAGTGTAAAGAATATTTTCCACAAGACTGAAAGACAAGATGGGTCTTTCAATAGACCACTCTCCGTCCCTTGTCAGTATACTCCACTAGGACCAGAGTTTGATGTCTACAACTTGCATGCGGAATCTATGGAGATTTTAAAGACGTCATCCAAATTATTTCCCTACAAAAATGTCTTGCAATGCGTAGTCTGCTGCATCAGCTGGGAGGAAACAATGGACAGACATTTCAAATGACCACGAGCGAACAAAATCAATATTTGGAATATAATTCTTCATTGTTCCAAGTGGGCCAAATCCATTCGTATCATGATTTATGGCAGTATTCATAAAAACCCATTGGATTTCATGTGAGTACAATGGATCAATGTTGTCACACATTTCCGTTGTGGAGATGAATTGTACGAGAAAGTTGGCATTGTTTCGGTTTACAAAACAACATCACTTTCATAATGTGAACTGTCTAGACACGGAACTTGGCATTGTTTGGATATCAAGTAATCTATAATGCAGGCCCATGCCTTTGTCTGAAGAAGAAATTGATGGCAATCATGGCATTTGTTACGTACATACACTCGTGGAATGTCTGCACAATCTGAGGAAAAATCCATTCCAGATTAAAATTTAACAGGTGAAATGCTGGACTTAGTCATGATAAAATTGGGGGATAAAACCTTGAGACAAGAAACAGACATCCCCATTGGCACCAGCTGTGCTCCCCTCCTGGCGGATCTGTATTTCTATGCATATGAATCAAACTTTCTGCTCGGTTTCGCAAAGTGAAAACAAGCTAATTTAGCCAAGAAGTTAAACATAAGCTTCGGGTATATCGACAATGTAATATTGTTAAAAAAAAACATCCAATAGCCAATTCCCTTTCACTGATTTACCCACCTAATCTTGAAATTAAGGAGACAAGTGTTTCATCAACTGAGGAAGCAAGTGAGACCGCCTCAGCTGTTTCATATTTATATATATGTATAAAGATTCACATTGACAAACAAAAACTCTCCACAATGCCATATGTCAAAAAGGGATGATTTTAGCATTCCAGTTGTCAACTTTCCATTCATGTCGAGGAATATTCCAGCAGTTCAAGCCATTTGTGTTTACTTTTGAGGTACAATCGAGCATGCACTTTTTACCAAGATTTCAAATAGCGCCAAATGGTTCTTGCTTATCGAGATCGTACAATGGACTTTGCATATGATACAGTCAGACGACACATGCTTATCATACAGTCGAGATCCTACAATGGACTTCGTGTATGACATAGTCAGACAACACATGCTTATCATACAGTTGAGATCGTACAATGGACTTCGTGTATGATATAGTCAGACAACACATGCTTATCATACAGTCGAGATCCTACAATGGACTTCGTGTATGACATAGTCAGACAACACATGCTTATCATACAGTTGAGATCCTACAATGGACTTCGTGTATGATATAGTCAGACAACACATGCTTATCATACAGTCGAGATCCTACAATGGACTTCGTGTATGACATAGTCAGACAACACATGCTTATCATATAGTCGGGATCGTACAATGGACTTCGTGTATGACATAGTCAGACAACACATGCTTATCATATAGTCGGGATCGTACAATGGACTTCGTGTATGACATAGTCAGAAAACCCATGCTTATCATATAGTCGGGATCGTATAATGGACTTTATTTATGATAAAGTCAGATCACACATATTTATCATATGGTCGGGATCGTATAATGGACTTTGTTTATGATAAAGTCAGATGGCACATGCTTATCACACGATGAAATCTGAATTTAGCGGAGATTTCGTATGATAATGGGAATGGTTTTGTCGCTTTTTGTCCGTAGTGCCAAGATATGCTGAAAGCTTTAAAACTTCAATTTATCATGGTGTCAAGATGCAGCTATAATTTCGCGCAGATTTTCTGACTTGGTCGTGTTTATTTACTGCGGTTTCATGTTTTCAAGATCGTGCTTTTGACTCTTGTTTCATTTAATTGTTATTTATGCAGAATGTATAGTATATGTATTTTGTCACTGCACGCTTTCTCGACCCTTACCTTAAGTCATAAAAAACACATATTTTTACGGCTACACATTCCAAGGTTCAGGGTGAAGTACGCTGTAAAATGGGTATAAGGGCGAGTTTATATGTATGTTTTTAAACTCCGGTCTTGAAAGGGTCACAAAAACTATGTTTGTAGTTGTGTACAGCTATGAATTACTGTGGTTAAGTGCATTTTTTTTCAAATTGATTCAGGGACTTTCGTATGAACTGTCTATTATACTATACGTCTCCAAACGAAACCAGTGTTTGTGTGAGGGTAGTGAGGCTATCCGCTTGAATTTGATCGTTCCTATAATTTGTCTGATACAAACGGTTTTTACCCTGATTATATTTCTTGGTTTGATATTATGATAATAGCTATGATTGTGACTGTGCGCCATCAGAGTACCATGACGTGTCATGAGAGACTGACCATCTGATCCTTAAGTCGAGTCTTACGGCCTCTATACGAGGGGCCACACCACTGAAGATCAGGGTTGGAATTGGTCTTCAGTAACCCATGCTTGTCGTAAGATGCGACTGACAAGATCGGTTGTCAGGCTCGCTCACTTGATTGACACATGTCACCCCAATTGCGTAGATCGAAACTCATGATCACTGGATTGTCTGGTCCATACTTGATTATTTACAGACCGCCGTCATGTAGCTTGAATATTGCTGAGTGCGGCGTTAAACAACAAACAAACAAAAAACAAGGGGCCCAATCTTACCCAGAATCCCAAGACAAATGTATAATGATCTTCCCACAAATCGAATGCATACTAAATACACAAAGAACATTTTTAAAACTCTGAGAAAATACTCCTAACAACAGCTAACCTTTGCAATCCTTGAATAATTTGGTTGGTCGAGGCATTTCCAAAGACTATCCCTGAATCTGCCACAAGGTGACTCTGTTTCCACGTTGGTAGACTTTTCAAAGTTAGCAGCCAAATCCTGACTGATCTCCTCGCCCTGGTCCACTTGGAACATGATGATCCAACAGCACTCGGAGATCTGAGTCTCAGGAATCTCCCAAAACTCCAGTTCCCGTCGTATGGCATTGCCGCAGATGTTGGACGGAAGATGAAGTTCAGATGTCCTATACATATTCAGAATACAGCTGAACACGTTAGGGTCTCTGTCGAAAGAATACACATCACAAGTCCGGTCATAGTACGGACTCGACTGACTTATTTTACCCAGTTTGGTTTCAGGGAATCTTGACAGAACTTCAGTAGATGTCGTAAAGGAAAACCCGCCGACGCACAGTTTAATTCGTTGTTTTGTCATACCTTTTTCTGTCGTGGCTTTTTAGCAAATATAAATAGACGTCAAAACTAGAGAATAATCCGTCTCGATTATCTTCCGAAACAGATTCCTCTGGACATGAAGCAATGCAACCTGGTTGAGGGATTCGTCGTGATGTAAGTGACTCGACAAGATCAACAGTAGTTGAGTTACTGGAGATATTGTGGGGTATTGATTCTATAGCGTGCATTGCGACCAGGTTGTCGCATTGGTTACGGGTATCGATTTGTCGAGTTTTTGTTGAACACACTTGTCTGTCAAGGATGTGTCGCTTGATTTAAAAGTTACTTCAAGAACATCAATAGTGACTAATTAGTGACAAATTGTGTTTAGAAGGAAATATGTGGATGTTTGTGATACAACCGAATCAGATTGACTCAGTTTCTTCATATTGATGTAAGGTATAACTTTTCTGTTTCGTCAATACGACAGCAACTGTGTCTACACCACCATGCGTCTTCTGCATACATATAATATTTACCTGTACATACTACACCTAGCAAGGACCCTTGAACATCCGGACTAGAATCTTTAGAAAACCATGCTGGTCTTAAGAGGCGACTAACGGGTGGTATGACGTCATGACTTGGTTGATGAATGTCATCGTATCATAACTGCTCAGATCGATTCTCATGATATTAATCACTGAATTGTGTGATCGAGAATATTTTAAGACCACCGTAGGAATATTGCTAAAGGCAATCCATGGTGATGTGTTTGGCAAAGATAGTATACAAACTTTGGACCTTACTTTTGCTTTGTTCTGCGACTGTTTTCTGCAACATCTAAATTACGTTTCTAATATTTTGGGCGTTTCTACTTTTCAAGTGTATACTTTTTTTCCCCGACAGTATACATAACGCGTCCAGAATGGATACAATGTCTCATTATGATTGTGTCATTCGAAGCGGAATAGTTCGGGTTTCACACAATACAATAAGTCTAAGAAGAAATAATTCATTGATATTTTTCTGATCCATAACTCGTATCAATATGCTTTCCCAGTATTTTCGATGTGGAATAGTTCGGGTTTACACACAGTGAAATTAGTCTTCTAAGAAATCATCCATTCATTGTTGTTTGTACTGATACACAAAACAGGTTTCCAATCACTGTACATTTCCAGTATATTCGAAACACAAGCCTTTCACGTTGTCTTATTCTACGATGGAGGCGGACAATGAAGGCTTTATCAACTATATTTCTTTTGTCTGAGGTCTTGTTGTCGTTTCTCAATGCCAATAATCCCAACGGTAATAAGTCAAAGTTCCAACACACTTAGGAGTCGAGCGCTGTTCTATATTTTATGAAAGTCAATGGTTACTCAAAACCCTCTACCTTTATTATCTAAATAGCTTGAACACCAACACGATACTCCCTAGGGGGTCTGATATCAGTTGTAAATATTCATGGTTCACCTGTATCTTTGATCGCCAGACCATTCCTAACTGTACAATCATCAAAATACAAAAATTCATTGCAAATATAAAATATTACTTTATTGCAAAAAATTGATTAATACAGTACAAAAGGCGACAATAAACGCTGTACAATGTTGTAGAATTTAATATAATTGAGGGAAACGTCTTTGTGCAACAGGAACTTAATGGTGAATGACACAATAAGAGGTACCGCTGCCGGAGATGTTGTGGAACATTGATTCTAAAGGAGTGTAAGATACCACTGTGGATGTCGCTTGGGTTGATAATTGAGTTATATCATTTCACCCATACCGGATTCCATAGATGTTTGCCAGATATATTCAGTATTAGATATTCAGGATATATGCAGTGACAGTTTATCCTGAACTGGAATACATTACTGCGTGTAATGTAGAATTGTCAATTCTTAGAAAATCTCGAACAGTCAGAATATTTTCTGGGCTCCCAAAATAATACTTCCCTCACAAAGAGGTTTTATGACTGTTTGTTTGTAACGCCGCACTCAACAATAATCCAACTGTTGAGGGGTCTGTAAATAATCGAGTCAGACAATCCAGCGATCAACATCATGAGCATCGGTCTATGCATCTGGGATACCATGACATATGTCAATCAAGTCAGCGAGCCTGACCACCCGATCCCGTTAGTCGCCTCTTACGACAGGCATGGGTCGCTGAAGACAAATTCTCACCCGGATCTTCTTGGATTAGATGTTAATTGAATCAGGGAAACGTGAGGAAACGTGAAGCACAAAGGAGGAAATGTGAAACATATTTGTTCTGCAAAATACAATGTATCTTAAAGATACTCTACCAACTACTGTCCGTTTAAATATATTACATGACTTCAGAATTCCAGACTGATTTTCCATCCAATGGATCTAAGTGCTCAACTAGCTCTATTATTCCATCGACTGTAATTTTATGGTATAAGGCATCAGTATTCCAGTTCTAGTCGTACATAAAACAAAATGTGTTGCACCTTCGTGTTTTTCTCATGCTGTAAAACGTTGATTATTGGTCATACCCAATTACGATACACGAGCCAGTTAAATTATGATTTATACAAAATACATATGAAGTGTCATCCTACGTCTCAATGTCGTGATCCATATTATTCATTGTTTATCAGAGTGTCCACTGTATAACCACCAAGAAACATCTATGTTAAGTCATCGATCTTAAGCCCGGGTTTGAAAGGCTCTCAATGATGAACAGTACTGGAGTAGCTGGGGACATTGTGGGTATTGATTGTAAAGGTTTTTACTTTGCCACCCGGGTTGTCACTACTGATTCCACCCTTCCCTATCGATTGTTGCCAGATATATTCAACATTATATGTTGCTGTTTGTATACAGTCAGTCACAGTGAATATACACGGCAAGTCATTTAGGTGACAAGAACTAAACTCAGCTTTAAGGGCCTTGTACTGTGTAGTGCCATTGATACAACATCAGATAAAACCTGTTCTTGCTGAGGCGTCAAATCACTCTGGTCTGGGAAAAGTGACCATCCCACGCATATCACAATTCATACTGACGGTGATTCCGGTGCAAGTCCCTATTTTGACTTGTACCATACGTTCCCTAGGTCCTTCATGTGAACAACTGACTACAACATCAGACAAAACCTGTTCTTGCTGAGGCGTCAGACCTGCTCTGAGAGATTTGACCATCCAACGGTGAACGATGGACTTGACTTTACATATGTTTATGACGGTGGGGCAGGATACGCTCACATTTTCACGAACACCGGGTATCATCACTATTTCATTGTGATTCATAAGCACAGGCTCTGTCATTGTATCGCATGGTGACAATGACTGGATTCTCCGGTCCAGACTCGATTTGTTTACAAACAACATCGTACAGGCCTAATACTGCTGAAACAAATACATTTATATACTCATGATACAGTCACAATTGTACATCGACATCGAGATTTATTATGGATGTGGAAAGAGTTTGTCGCTTCTATTTCTATAGATATCAGGGGCGGTGTCTGGTGGTAGTGTATATATTTCTATAGATATCAGGGGCGGTGTCTGGTGGTAGTGTATATATTTCTATTAACGTGGAAATCACTTTACCCCACCTGTCCGCTCTGCCCCGACCTCCCCAACATACAACCAATCTTGTAGAAATCAATCCCCCTCGAAGGACCGCGAAGATCCGGGTTAAAATTGGTCTTCAGCCACCCATACTTGTCGTAAGAGGCGACTAACAGGATAGGGTGGTCAGGCTCGCTGACTTGGTTGACACATGTCATCGTATTCCAAATGCGTAGATCGATGCTCATGCTGTTGATCACTGGATTGTCTGACTCGATTATTTACAGACCGCCGCAATATAGCGGGAATATTGCTGTGTGCGACGTAAACAACAAACCAATCAAATCCAATCGATGGGCCTCGAACAAGGATCGTTCTGCCGGGTGTGAGATGGGGAGTTGAGTCAAATCTGTGGTTGTTATTCACACCACAAAACAAACTTATCGCACAAGTTCTTGACATTTTACATCATAAAAATATATATTTTAATGTCAAAACAATCAAGGATCTTTATATAATGTTAATTATCATTTAATAATTGGATTTTTAAAGGAAAAAGAATTACTTGATAAATTTGATAAATTTGGATAAATTTATGTTTTGTACAATAGATGAATGATATTTTATAAACGGTGGAATAAATTACCAATTCTGCAACTACAATTGTTATTGACTGTATCCTCAAAGGGGATTAAAGTATCGTAAAATTATTGTCCTCCTGAGAGGGTACGTTAGTCCCAAAACTTTCAAAGTAAATTTAAACTTACCAATTTTTTTAAACCTGGTAATTGTTTTTATTTTTAAATATGGCTAAATGTTCCCACAATCGTCAGCGCTGAAGGGATGGTGTAAATCCAGCTACGGGCCTTGCAGTCCCCATAGTCCTTGGTATGGTGATCTACCTTCAGTTGTGGGCGATATGTAGCCCGTGTTTTATATTGTATTGTCTTCTTCAATTAATCTGTTTTAGATTTAATTACTAGTTTTAAATTATATCTGTGATAATTTAGTTGTTTTATTGTCCTTCGTTGACTGGTTTTTTATAATTTACCTATAGTTGTTATCAATATATAACTTGATATAGTCACGATATGGCTGAAATACTGCCGATGTGACTAAAGATTTTAACTCATTCGCTCACTCACTCTTGACATTTTACGAAAGCTTCATTATTCTCCCACTATCAATTATCATGAATGAGTGAGTTTAGATTCAAGACGCTCTTAGCAATATTTTGGAGGAATTGGCTTCACACTTTGTACCTAAGGATCGAACCTTGGTCTTTGGTGTGACAGGCGAACACTTTAACCACTAGGCTACCCCACGGACACTAACATGTTTTAGAAATACACCAACCGTAATAGCTATACCACATGACAAAAATATTGCCAGAGAGCCATTACAATTAAACTCATTCACTGTCTAGAGGAAACTCTATTACCATGATAATAAGCAGACACACTTCCTTTGGTATACAGTCACACATTTCAATACTGAAAACTGTTTTGTGCAAACGTAATTCAAAACTTCAAACATTTAAACGTTTTTACCTTTTATGTCATGGCAATACAAATACATTATTTTTACATTTGAGCTTCTTATGGATGTGGAAAGGGTTTTGTTGCTTT